AACATACCTTATAAACTCATTATTCAGATATTTTGAAAATCAATTTTAAAAACATGATGTAAGAACTTACCAACTCATAAAAAAAACTTATCAGACATAAAAAACTTATCAGCTGTTTAAAATAAAATTAGCTAAAACAGACTCGAAATCTACTCCTTTTTATGTCATTGTCACATGTAGTATATCTTTTTAACTTAGTTTCACATATGCGAAAAATCCATAATAATTCAATTCAATGTTATTCCTTAATAGTTAATACTATGCCATAAATACACTACCAAAACTAGTGCATAATAGATCCTACCTACATATAGATTATCTAAGCATGAATAAATAATTAAATATCAATTAACTGTATTCAATAGTACAAATGTATATAACTTTTTACTAGAATAATCAATATCCAAATTTCCCAAAAAGAATTATTCTATTTGAAGAGAAAAACATATTTATTACAATATGAGGTGCATGATTTGAATTTTCAATTTTGTGTATTTGACCTTTTCTATACATTAAAATAAAAGTCTAAAATAATATTTACAATTAATAAATAACAAATACACATCCAAGACAAAATATAACACAAAAATGTACAAGAAAAAAAATATAATCGACAATCTATGAATACTCTTCTTTATTTTATTGGAGGAAAGTCCCCCATGAAATTTCATATTTAGAATGTAATAAAAGTTGTACTTGTGGTTTCCACTTAAGTCCCTATGTTTATATTTCCATTCGAGCTAAATTCCTCAATACGAAGCCGTCCAGATCATCGCTTGAAATATTACGTTTTAAGAATCCAAATGACTTTTAACTAATAAAAATGCAAAAAAAATCGTTTAAAAGGAAACCGAAACTTTAATACTTTAATTGCAACCAATTTTTTTTTTTTTTTTTTTATTATTCCTATCACAAATAATAATAACAATAGATCTCACAAACTTTTCTAAAATCACCCCAAAACTTTATTACACTTTCGCCCCAACTTTATTACACTTTCACAATCTTTAACTCGTATTTATTATATTTTCCTCCCTCCAAGAACACAATATTTATTATTTAACGCCCCAAACACTCTGCCAAACACCTTCCTCACCCGACAACCCCAACCCCCCCAATCACCACCGGCATTTCTTATCCACGCGCCCCCCCTGCCCGTGGTCCCCACTCTCCATAAATTATAATATTATATTATTTTTTTTCTCACAAAATATATAAATAAAATATATATTATTTATTTATCGCCGGCTGAAAATGCTGTTGTGCTTGGATTGGGGGTATAGATTAACCGTTCAACTCTCTCCCAATTACAAATCAGTACTAAAATCCAACCCCAAATCACACACACACACACACACACACACAAACGCCAGAGCTTCGAATTATCCTCCATCATCTACCAAAATTCATTCGTATATTTATATATATATAATTATATATATATATATATACATATGTATATATATATGTAGATGTATGTATTATTATAATACACTCTGTTCCATCTTCATACACACACTCTCTCTGTGATTGGTTCCTCGGTTGTTCGATGAGCCCTAGATCTCACATACTCATACTATAATTATATATATACACGTACGTACAGAAGCATACACGCAGATCCTTCTGCTACAAGATTCAACTCCTCCCGATCTCTATTTTTTTTTGTTCTTCCTTCCTCCTCCTCCAGCTCGCCGCCGTTCGAATCAATCAGGTAATTGAATGTTCTTCATGGGGGAATGCCGTTATGGAGGCTACATTTATTCCGCGCGTGTGTTGGTATTACGTGTTTTTTTCTCGCCCTCGTGTGTGTGTGTGTGTGTGTGTGTGTGTTGCGTCGTAGTTAATCCGTGTGGTGTATCTATAGGATTTGTCGTTTGAGTTGTGTATCTATAGGATTTGATTCAGGGGCAGGTTCCTTCGGTTTGACTTTTTTTGGGCAATGGATTTCTTCCTTTTTCAGTTCGGGGCGGCGGCGTAGGGAATTTGAATCGATCAATGTGGTTTCTTTGTTACTGCATATTCGCTCGTTTGATTTGTTTGACCCAATTTGATTTTGTTTCGCAACTTGAATTATTTAACGATGGGATCTGAAGTTTGGGCATTTATGAAAAGCTGTTCGATGTACCCTTTTCGTCTGTATTCATTTCCCTCGTCCTTTTTTAGTTATGGTCAAAGTGAATTTCAATCCCTGTTTTGGGAATCTGATCTATGGATTTTTTGGTCGGCGAACTTGATCTACGTTGACTTTTGGAATACGGTCGTCGTGCATATGTGTTTAACACCAGATTTGAGCTGTACTAATCTATTTATGTAGTTACCCATTTTCAATTACATATCTTGTTGTTATAAGATTTCTTTTTTTTTTAATTTCTGCTATAGCAGTGTTTGCTGCTATAGCAGTGTTATCTGGCAAATAAAATGTATGTTCTTAATTCAGCTTTCTTGTTTACACCAAATCAAGTTGTGTTTTTTTTTTTCGTCGTGCAGCTGCAGATCAATTGCAAACATCTCCATCTTCGTTGAATATTCAGCTTCTTACTGGATCCATTGTTTCAGCCTGCTTTAGGCAGATAAGTGGTGTTACTTTGGTGTAATTTTGGACTTAGAGGCGAGTTTTGAAATAAATTGTGGGAATTGACCTGTGATGCGTCATTTCTAGATGAAGTCAACTAAGGCCTGGCGTCTGGGCATGAAAGACGCATCAACATTGCCAATGGCTCGACAGCGCGGTCAATCAAAGAAGCCCACATGGATTATCGTATTGGTTTCATTAGTCTGTTTGTTCTTAGTTTGTGCATATGTCTATCCTCCTCAGAATTCTTCGGCATGTTATGTGTTCTCATCTGGTGGCTGCAAGGGAATACAATGGCTCCCCCCTGCACCTACCAGAGAGCTATCCGATGATGAAATCGCTTCTCGTGTTGTAATTAAAAGTATTTTGAAAATGGCCCCTGCTTTATCAGAGACTCCCAAAATTGCCTTCTTATTTTTGACACCCGGTGCTTTGCCATTTGAGAAGCTATGGGACCAATTTTTCCAGGTACGTCCTGTTTCTGTTATGGTGAATTTTAAGTTCCAGTTACTGTAATATATTGCTCTTGCAAGATTGACGCAATTACCGTGGAACCTATTAGACTTTTAAGTTGTTATGTCTTGGCTACTTTGATCACGTACGTGATTTGTTCCAAGCGGACTGTTGATAAACTTTGGCTAGAGACAGATTTTCATTTTTAAGATTTACTGATGTAGTTGGTCCATAAAATCCTGAGTTGACTTGCTTCCAACTTCATATCTGGTTCACTTGTAAGAGAATGTTATTTGATTAACTATACATTGATTTGTAATTCAAAAAATGGAAGTTGCAAGGAACGACATTCCAAAGATGTTAAATAGCCAATGAAATTGAGTATAGTTTGCGACATGGAGCACATCTTTTGAAAATGTTGTAAGGAAGCTAAAGCATAGACCAAGTAGCCGTTCACGCATAAAAATGATAACAAATTTATAGTCAAAATTGAATCATAGCAAGAACTGGTTGGGTCTTTTTAGGTGAAGGAACACCATTCTCTTAATTCCATGCACTTGTTCAGCGTTAAACTTTGTATTTTGGATGGTACGGCTTGCTATTTGGTTTGAATATAATCTTCTTTTCTTCCCTCAAATTTTACCATTACAGGGCCAGGAAGATAGATTTTCTGTGTACGTGCATGCTTCGAAAGATAAACCTGTGCATTTTAGCCGTTATTTTATCAACCGGGAAATTCGTAGTGACACGGTTTGTAACTCATCTCTACTTGGTTTTATTCATTATAATTATTCGGAAGAAAATAATTCCCGTCCCTGCTTTTCTGTTATGTGAAAATGTTACATAGACTTCTGCAACTATGTTATTTTGAAGCAGTCTATCTTTACTGGTTATCTATTTCATGTTATAGTTCAAAAGATAACCGTGAGCGTATAATTGGTATAACAATGCATGTATTTAGTAAAGTGTGGAGGGTGCATAATGAGCAAGTTTTATGGTTTTGTGAATTACAGGCTATGCGGCTACATGTTTTGCTGTAAAAAATTAATTTTGCAAAATGAACCAGAAACATATTAAGACATTGTGAAAAGCCATCTTAATTCGGAAGTTTTAGTGGAATATTACATTTTCTTGGATAATTGGTGATTATGCACTGAAGGCAAACTATTAGTTGTTTACAACTACAGGTAGAATGGGGTAAAATATCAATGGTGGATGCAGAAAGACGACTTTTGGCAAATGCACTCAAAGATCCAGACAACCAGCAGTTTGTACTACTCTCTGACAGGTTGCTATAAAAGAATTCGTTTGCAAAGTCTCTTAATTTTCCTTTCTGGATTCAACGATGCTAATCAAGCGTTTTCTTGGACTGAACAGCTGCATACCACTTCGCCATTTTGATTATGTGTACAACTATCTCATGTACACGAATGTCAGCTTTGTAGATTGGTACGCTCTTTTTTCTGAAGAAAAATTGTTGCTATTTTCTTATTGGTCCCTTCTTCTATGCTACTACAATATCCCTAGTGGTTTCAACTTTATGAAATATTTAGCAGTGAGATTTTTAATATATGTTTGGTGCTTATTTTTTTCAGCCAAAATATCCATAGTAGGACAATTTTGTATAACATTCAGTGATGAGCCTTAAATATATAGGTTGAACCCCAAATAGAAACTCAGCTGAAACACTGAAGTCTAAAATATAGACGAACCATTATTTTTCAAATTTTTGTTATGTAGAGTGAGATATCAAGAGATAAATGTTAGTAATATAATGGTTAGAGGAAGTCATATGCATAAAAGAACGTTAAACACATAGAATTAATCATTTAAACCTGAAGACAAATGAACTGTGTTCACAATTATTTCCTTTCCTCTACTGATTAAGCATTCAGGAAATTTCAAACCTAAAGTCTATATTTTATGTTTAACTGCAATCGGTGATTAATATTATTTTCAGTTATAAGTAAATGTGAGAGGTAAGCATGCCCCTGTTTTCTGCAGCTTTGAGGATCCTGGTCCACATGGAAGTGGCAGGTATGTTGAGCATATGCTTCCTGAAGTCGAAAAGAAAGACTTTCGAAAGGGTGCACAGGTGTGTTTCGTATTCTCACAATGTGCAAAAAATTACAGTTTGGAACTATATGCTATAAATTTTGCGGGGTTAACAACATTGAGTAATCAGCTCCGTTGTTTTATCAGTATAAAATTCATCTTGTGAAAAGTGTTTCAGAGATCAAGAAATGGCATAAGTTTATAAAATTTCTCCATTTGTATTAGCATGTACTATTCTATCTTCAAGTAAACTTTATGTTATAAAGTGATTATAAACACTTGCTGCCTCTGTTGGAAGCTTGGAGCTAACTGTAGTTTAGAATTTGGATGCATTATTCTGTTTCTTGCAAGTTTTATATAATCACGTATTAATATGCTCTTTGTTCGAACATTGCAGTGGTTCACAATGAAGCGGCAGCATGCTACTATAATCATGGCTGACAGTCTCTACTTCACAAAATTCAGGGATCATTGCAAGGTGATCCTTGTTTGATTTATATATATACATCATCACTATAGCTAGAATCCCTTGATGAATGTTTCTCTGTTTGAACTAAAGGTGGAACCTAAGTGAGATATTAATAATTTGGAGACGAGAAAAAGAAAAATCAGTTGTAAAAACTTGCCCAATTATTGAACAAGTCTTATGATGTATATAAACACCTATCTTCTTTCTTACTGATATTGACCTTTTATATAATTTTCTGCTTCAGGATCATTATTTTTTCTGTATAATAGATCATTATGCTTTTATTTTTATCTGGTTACATCATTATTGCTTGCGATGTTAACCTGATAGCTTTTAATAAGTTCCCAGTACGAATTTGCAGAAATACAGGAGTAAGAATTTGAATCTTAGATTGTAGGTAGATTCTAATATCCTATTTCCATACGTAAATAATTTGATCAATCGTTTAAACTATGAGGTACTTGGTAAGTTTTAAACAGATACTAAGATAAGTAAGGTTTACGGAAAGTTCATTTAAGTAGGAAACTGCAAAAGGTAAGTTTATCACGAAAATGAATAGTTATGGGTGAAATGTACATTTCTTGTATTTTAAAGCCTATATATTAGTATGTTTGGAATATCAACTTCATACTGAACCACTGTTGCGGTATATTTCTTTTGATTGAACAGCCAGGCATGGAGAGGAATATCAACTGCTACTCCGACGAACACTATTTGCCGACGTTTTTCTATGTGAGAATTGTCGTACTTTATGTTACTGAATTATGACGATTCCCTTTTCTCTCCTTCCCACTTGATATTTTTGACGTGTGTAGTTTTTACTTGGCCTTTTCAGATGCTTGATCCAGCTGGAATAGCCAATTGGTCAGTAACACACGTTGATTGGTCCGAAAGGAAGTGGCATCCGAAATCATACCAAGCACAGGATATTACATTAGAGCTGATGAGAAATATTACAGTATGGCTAAAAAAGCTCACTCTAATTCGATTTTATTACATCATAGTTTTTTTTTTCTCACGACTATCCACTGACACTCGCTTGAAAACTATATATGCAGTCGATTATGGAGAGTGTGCATCTTACAAGTGACGATAAGGTAAGTATTATCTTAGTGAGGTACTTTTGTTGAAGTACGATAATTCTGATGAAAAGTTATGTTTTACTGCAATGCAGATAGAATATAGGACGACACCTTGCGTGTGGAATGGAATCGAACGGCCGTGTTATTTATTTGGAAGGAAATTTTTACCGGATACTTTAGATAATTTACTGTCTCTTTTCCCAAACTATACGTCGTTTGAGTGAGGTGAATAGCTTTTTTCAGTATTTGATTCTTTGGTCGAATTGCATTTCGACCCAATTCATCATCATCATCATCTCGAATTCACGTGTTGTAAAGCAATATCAGATTTGGATGCTCCCCGAAGATGGATTTTTTTTATTAGAGTGCAACGAGCGAAACCGGGACGGAGACTAAAGGCTGTCTTCGACCTGAATGAAGGTCCAGAAATGGCTATAATTTTGGGGAGACAATTTTTATTTTTGATTAAATTTTTCCACCCTGGTTTTGGCTAATTTATTTTTTTTACTTTATGGACAAAAACCCCTGGGGACTTTACTGCAGCTCTATAGCTGCCATTATTACAAGTTGCAAATATGTTTTTGTTTTTGTCTTTTTTCCTTTTTAACTTAAATTTGGACAATTTTTTAGCCAATTTTCTTAATTATGTGAGTTTTATTTTTGTTAATATACTAATAACATTTAATACTAATCAATAACTATACAAAATAATATTTTTATTTGATATTATAAATTTCAATAACTTAATTGGTGTATATTAATAAATAACAAACTCTTATAATTTGTTATGAAAGATTTGTTTTTATGTTGATTAAAATGATAATTATATATAATTGTTTTTTTTTTGTTAATATTAATACTAAGTAAAATAATAAATTTCATCTTTAGTACATATATTTGCAAAAAAAGTAACACAATAATAAAATATTATTTTTTAATGATAAATATATTATAAAGTACAATATAAAATTATTTTAATATTTTCTAATTTAGCAAATTCGTTAACTATACATTTCATAATAAAATGTAAAATATAAATATACATTGTCAATGAAAAAATAAATAAATAAATTAAATTAATTAAATAAATAAAAAGGAAAAGTATATAAACCCTCTTCACTTTCGTTTCCTTCTCTGCACCTTAACTCTGTACCATTCCAACTTCGCACATTTCAAATCGTAACAGAAAGTGAAAATGCAGAACGAGCAAACCAAAAATGGTACATATCCAATCACGAAATACATAGCGAATCCACGCAGCGGAAACGCCGACGAATCTCCTTCAACCCTCGGCGGCGGCGGCGGTGGTGGTGGATTCCTACTTCTTCCACACAGTGGCAGAGGAATTCCGCAAAGCCCCGAATTATTCTCAAACCTAGATGCCGGAAACGTACTCAGCTGCCCGCCCATCGGAATCTGCCCGACGAGATCGTTGTTCGACACATCCATATCCGTAAGAAACGAGAGCATCTGCATCGTTCCTGGTATGGATCCATCGATTCTGTTGTACGATAGGTCCAGCGTCGACAGCGATCTCAGACCGCCTAAACTTGCCGGTAGGTTTCCGTTCAACCTGTTGTGCCCTAAATTGAGTATCCTTAGAGAATACATCGAGCCTATGCTCTCAGGTATCGTCCCCGTCAGGTCATTATGTGACAGATCAATGTGAATCATGCTTCCGTTTCTCTCAGATGCGTAGTACACGTTTCCAGGGTGTATCCTGAAAACGGCGCAGTTTCGGAAAGGGAAAAGATCGTAGAGCTTCGACATACATTTAATCCCCTCCAGTTCGATCAGCCTGCCTGAACCTATGCATCCTGCCCTGATTCCGTTTTTCAAGAAGACAAAGGTTCTTTTAGGTGCAATGCCGGCTATCAGAAGTCCTGTTTGGTTCGCGAGCTCCGATGGGACCTCTCCGGTCAGGAAATTATCGCTCAGTTCGAGGCATACGAGGCTTGTGCTCCTGCCTAGTTCAGGGGGTATCCCTCCTGTAAGAAAATTGTCACCGAACTGAAGCACGGTGAGATTGGCTAGATTTCCAATGCCCGGTGGGATTCCACCGGTGAGTCGGTTGCTGAACAACGAGAGTGTAACCAGATTAGTACAGTTGCCTATGGAAACCGGAATCTTTCCGGTGATGAGATTGTTGTTGAGGATCATTGTCTTGATATTTGCTCCTGTACTGCAAATGTCTTGTGGGATTTCGCCTGTGATGTTGTTGCCCCACATAACTATGTCTGATAGCTTCGGGTGCGCCCAGATTTCACTTGGAATCGGTCCGGAAATAGCGTTGAAACTGAGATTAATGACTCTCAAGTTTTTACACAGTCCGAGCCCTGTAGGAATCGTACCTGTGAGATAGTTATCGGCCAAGATTATCGTGTCTAGAGGTGACTGAACTTCGCTCGAGCAAAATTCGAGAGGCAGATCTCCGGTTAAGGCATTTGCACCGAGGTCGAGTACTTGAAGCTGAGTGAAGTTTGTGAACGATTGCGGTATTGAGCCGCTGATGTTGTTGAACGGTAGGTGGAGAAAATGGAGGGTTGTGATCGAGCCAATGATTGTGGAGAGAAAATCACCCGAGAGCTGATTGTTTCCGAGGTTGAGGCTAATCAGTGAAGAACAAAATTCAAAGGTTGAAGGAAGCCCGCCTGTTAAATCGTTGTCCGAAAGATCAAGCTCTTCGAGTGTCCCACACAAACGCCCCAACCCGCGTGGAATCTCACCGTAAAATTCGTTGGAAGAGAGATTCAGTTTTCTGAGATTTCGGCAGCTCCCGAAATCGAGAGCTGCGGCAAGATCACCGGAGAAGTTGTTGGCCGAAAAATCAAGAAACTCGAAGGTGCACGTGTTGATGCTCGACGACAGATTGCCGTAGAAAGAATTGCCGCCGAAATGGAGCTCGGTGAGATTAGGCAAGACCATGAGATCGGAGATGTGGAGGTGGCCGACTAAGGTGGCGTTTGTGATGTCGAGTTTTACGACTTTGCCATTTTCGGAGCAGTGAACTGCGTTCCACGAGCAAGGGCTCGTCGAATCCGGAGTCCAGTTGGTTAAGAACCCTCTTGGATCGGATTCCACCGATGAGTTTTTGAAGGCCATTAGTTTCAGTACTTGATCATCACCATCTTCTCCAAAGCTACAGCAGATCACAGAAACAAGAACAAAGGCACAGAGTTTGATTCTTGTAATACGAGGTAGTAAAAAAACTAGCTGTTTTCTCTTCATTTTGTTCAGATCTGGAATCAGATTACTCCTGGTTATTATTCTATAATACATGTTTTGTGCTCTGGAGTTCTCCACCATTGGTCTTTGTTTTCTGTCAACAAAGGCTGGTTAAGTTTTTAATTATTTATTGAATCTTGAAGACAAATTGGAGTTGATTTTTCTCTGTGTTCTTTTTTGATTTTTTTAAGCATCTACCCAGAAGAGAAGGAAGCCGCCGAATTATGTGGTAATAATAATTCCAACATGGCCCAAAAAGGGGCGGAGTAGAGAGAGTTTATGAATCTTTTGACAACTGCTATGTGCACCCAACAGGTGAAACTTCTTATTTGTAATTGTCGCACTTTATTTTGGCTTAATTTCATTAATACCCCTCTAAGATGCTCTAATTACAATTTAATTGGATTCTTGAATATAAAATGATCAAACTTTTCTGCAGTCTGTATTTCCTTTTGTCCTATCATGAACTATGCATTTAGAATTATTTACTCCTTTGTGCAGCTAAGCAGAAACTAATCAATTGTACATGGTATATATTGTGTCAGTTTCTTGTTGACAATTTAGTAGGTATGTCCCTTATTAGATTGCTAGAAACAACTTTGTTGAGAGTTAAGTTGCAATCTAGCTAGCTAACCAATTTTTTTTTTTTTTAAATTAAAATCCTCTATAAATTTCGATTTAAAAGATCAATCTTCATCCAGATTATTCCATGTTTGTTTCAAATTACTTAAAAAAATCCTCATACGAATAGGAAGATTTGAAAAAGATTAAAAAAAAAAAAAACGAATATGACCTACACTTTCTACTGTGTTGGTGCATTATTATTACTACATTTGATCACTTGCCATCATCAAATTGTCATTGCCGCTTCATTCACAAGAGGCACAATAAGTAGTAGTAAGCTCTCCCTCAGGCTAATTCACCGTCATTCGATAACTCCACCACCTATTCACAGGCTTTCATCGGACAATGATGATATACGAGCTCCATTAATTCCGATGGAAGACACCAGTCTTTTCCTGGTCAACATCTCCATCGGTCATCCCCCGGTCCCGCAGCTCCTAGCCATGGACACCGGCAGCAACCTCATTTGGGTCCACTGCACCCGTTGTGACAGCTGTAAAACCAAAATATTCGACCCGAAAAGATCCTCCACCTACATTGGTATATCCAACTCATCCCGCCTCTGTCAGGACTACGCCGCCTCCCCCAGCTACAACAACCCGCAGTACGATTCGCAGTGCTCTTTCGGAATAAGATACGAGGACAATACCGCAAGCAGCGGCGTCCTCGCCCTGGAGAAGTTCACTTTCCTGACTTCCACCGGAGGTACGGTGGAAATCCCTAACGTGGTCCTAGGGTGCACCCTAGAATTCGACGGGGGTCCCGGTGGAAACTTCAACGGAATCTTCGGCCTCGAAGCCCCCAACGAGCACCACTTCGTCTCCCGCACCGGCGGCAACAGATTCTCCTACTGCCTAGGCAGCATTAGAGATACGAGCTATATCTATAACCAGCTGATTTTGGGAAGCGGAGCTATAATCCAGGGCATGTCCACTCCCATGAGCACTAGGAACAACCACTACTTTGTCACAATCGAAGGCATAAGCGTGGGGGATAAGCAGTTGGCCATAAATGAGTACGATTTCTATTACAATGCTGTGATAGATACAGGTACGACTTTTACGGAGCTCGTGAAGAGTGCGTACGTGCAGCTTGTGGAGGAGGTGAGGGGGTTGATGGATGGGTTATTGGAGCCCGCGCATGTCGGGAATGGCGATAATATGCTGTGCTATTTGGGGGATTTGGATAAAGATCTCAAAGGGTTTCCGATTGTGAGCTTGCATCTTTCGGAAGGGGTTGATATTGATTTGGATGTTGAAGGAATGTTCCAGAAGACTCCGGAAGGATTGGGGTTCTGCATGGCGGTTGTGGAATCGAAGTCGATGAATGTGATCGGTGTGATGGCGCAGCAGTACTACAATGTGGGGTTTAATTTGGATAATATGAGGGTGAGTTTTCAGAGGATTGATTGTGAGCTTCTTGAAGATTGATTATTTATATTTATAATGTATTATAGGACATTAAACAAGCATAATGTTTTTACTATAGATGGCACATGTTTTTTTAAGAAAGGGTTTGTTGGGAATTTTTATGATAAACTCTTCACTCTTTATTTTGCTTTAGAATCCCCTCCTAATTGTGATCTAATCTAAACACAAACACCTCTTTGTTGTTGTGTACGATGTCAAATTCTTACGTTGCACTTTTTCGAAAGCTCTTGTCTCTCTCTCTTTTCTTGTCCTAATTGCCGGTTTTTTGACAGGCAATAGACTATTTCGACGGATCCTACTGCAGGGGCATTATCGTCTTCGAGAAGTTCACGTTCGCTACATCTGACGGGGGCATATCGGTGATTCCCGATTTAATGTTTGGCCGGGGGTCAAAAGCATTGGAACCGTGGAGACACTACACGGGATCTTCGCACTCCAAAACCTTAACCGGTAAACTCTAGTCTCACGACTCGGTAATAAATTTTCGTATCGCATTGGAAACATTAGTGATCCTTATTACATGTACAACCAGTTGGTGCTGGGCGAAGGAGCTGTGATCGAAGGCAACTCAACCCCGTTGAGAATTTGGCACGGTTACTATGTGGTGAGCATACAGGGGATTAGTGTAGGGGAGAAGCAACTCGAGTTCGACAAGCAAGAATTTTATTACAACGTTGTAATAAATTCGTTTGATTCGACTTGAATGGGATGGAAGGTTAGTTCCTTGAATATTGAATGTCAACTTCTTAAAGACATAGAGCAATTTGATTATCGATTCACCAAAGCATTTCTTGTTTTCTCAATCTCAGCTTCTCTGCAACAGCACAAAGTCTCTTAAACCAGACGAACTTTGGGAGCCAAAAAGGGTATATTTCTTGCTGCCTTATTCACTCTTCGAAACCAACGTTTCGCCATTGTACTTTGCCCCCACTGCTAGAAAACTGGCCTCGGTTGCACAGAAGGGCACTTCCAAATCCAAGTCATGCAACCATAAACTGCCAGCAAGTTCAGACCGAGTTTTTTCAGACAAGAGCAACAACATAGGAGTCGAAATGGGGAACGGTGAAGTGTTTCTTGGTACGAAAAAGTGTTCAAAGTCGAGATCCTGGAGTTCGGTCTTGGCTACAATTCGAGAGAAATCTTTCGATAGCAGAAGTGAATCTGAGTTAAAGGAAAGTATACAATTCAAGTTGATGTATAGTGCAAGAGGGGTTCTTTTTGTTTTTTTTTTTTTTTTTTTTTTTTTTTTTTTGTTTTGTTTTGTTTTAAGTTAGCTTTACTAAAAATAGGAGAATTAAATCATAATTGTTGATATATTATTTGCAAGTGATTTTTTTTTTTTTTTTTTAATTTATAATTATAGTGAATGTGGCTTCATATTTATACAATCGCATATAAGAGTGCTCTTGCCGCCAAAATTTTCAACTAATTACCGGATATTTCACAAGAATGCCAGATGTGTGCCCTTTCAAATGCTTTCAAATGATGCCGGAAAAAACTTGGTTCCTTTCTCCACCACCTGCGCCAAGACTAAAGCCTTCCTGCTTGGGCTTTCGCTACACGCTGCCGCAATCAAAACAGGAACACATACAGAAATCTGTATCGGTAATCATGCTCCAAATTTGTTATGCAAATTGTGGCTGCATTGATTCAGCCCGCCAGATGTTTGACAAAATTTCGCACAGAAATTTGCTCACGTGGTCTGCCATGATATCGGGTTACGACCAATCGAAAAGACCCCATTTTGCACTTCAACTTTTCAGTCAAATGGAATCTGTCTTTGCCAGTGCTCTTAGTTCTTCCTCTGAAAGTAAGAACTTGTACTTTGGCCGGCAAATTCATCCTCAGGTAAAACTAATTTTGCAGCATGAAATGCAGTATGTGCTCTCCGATGCCTTATTGATCTTTACTGAAGTAAGCCCGATTCTTTAACTTTCGTTTCTTACATTGTAACAACTATCGGGGCTGGTGGAAAATAAGCATCTAGAACTTCTCGAAGATCGATGATTTACATATAATATACATGACATGAACTAATCATGGTGTTTTTACTATATATGACACATGTTGTGGTTTTTAGGAAAGAGTTTGTTGAGAAATTTTATTATAACAACTCTTTAGTTTGCTTTAAAACACCCTCCTAACTATGATCTAATCTAACTCAAACAACCTCTGTTTTATTGTACAATGGCAAATTCTTACATTGCATTTTCTATTTTTGTTCTAATTACCCGTTTTTCGACAGGCGTTGAAGCCACAAATCGGACAAAGCTAGTCCTCCGCCTTATACACCGAGACTCGATATTTCGTCCGTCTTATTCAGACGCAAAGAATGACCTAAGGGCTCCTTTGGTTCCGTACGAAAGAGGCCTACTTTTCTTGGTAAATATTTCAATAGGTGAGCCTCCGATCCCGCAACTTCTAGCTATGGATACCGGAAGTTCACTAACGTGGCTGCACCCTCACCTCTGCACCGGATGCAACCCTCCGGCAAACCGGGCCCCACTCAACAACCCTAAAAGATCATCGACCTGCACAAAGCTCTCGTGTGATTTTAAATACCAATGCCAAGAATATTTCGTCAACAGCGATTGCAGCCAAGTATCTTCTCAATGCACCTACAAGATAGAATATGTCGACAGATCGTATGCCAGGGGCATTATTGTCTCAGAAAAGTTCACGTTCGCTACGTCAGATGACGGCATATCGGTAATTCCCGATTTACTCTTCGGTTGCGGGCTCGAAAGCCGCGGGAACGTGCTAAGACTGAACGGAATCCTCGGACTTTCAAACCTCAACCGACACTCGTTAGTCTCTCGAGTTGGTAAGAAATTTTCGTACTGCATAGGAAACATCAGCGACCCTTATTACACGTACAACCAGTTGGTACTAGGCGAAGGGGCCGTTCTAGAAGGCGAGTCAACTCGGTTGGGTATTAGGCACGGTCACTATGTGGTGAGCTTACAAGGGATTAGCGTGGGCGAGACGAAACTTGAGTTCAACGAGCAAGAATTCTATTACAACGTCGTAATAGACTCGGGGTCAACGTTGACTTCTCTAAAGAGAAGTGCTTTCGAACCCCTTAAGGAAGCAGTGGTGAACATGCTCGACGGTCTGATCCAGCCTGTACTAATCGAGGGTTTCGGGGAAAGGCCCTGTTATAGAGGGGATTTGGTGAGAGATTTAAAAGGTTTTCCGACTGTGACTTTGCATCTCGACGGAGAAACTGAACTGAGTTTGGATGTCGAAGGAATGTTTCAGAGAATCGGAAGCGATTTGTTTTGCATGGCCGTCGTTGCTTCGACGAACGGAATTAATATTATAGGAGTGCTTGCTCAGCAGTACTATAATGTTGGATTTGATTTGAATGAAATGAAGGTTAGTTTCTTGAAGATTGAATGTGAAGTCCTTGAAGACTAAAAAAGTACACGAGTATCAACGCGCAAAACCATTCGTTTTTAGAAATAAACATTTAATCCCAACTTAACTCACGGTCGCAAACTTCTGCTTTTTAAGTAAGCTTTTGCAAGCACCACCTAATTACAAGTACTTATAAGTTATAAGCTCCTATTTAAAATTTTGATTCATATATAGTGTGCTTTTGGCGCCAAGTTCAACTGACATTACCGAAATTTCACAAGATAAGATATTTGTGACAAGCTCGACCTCGGAATTGGAATATAATATTCTAATTTAGATCCTGTATCTATAGGTGGTGGCGTTTGTATTGTAGTTCCCATCAATTGAAAACTGCAGAAGTATAATGTAGATACTCAAATTATTTAACTTGGTTCATTTCTCCACCACTGCGCGAAAACAAAGGCTTTCCGACTTGGGATTCCGATGCACGCTCTCACAAACAAAAAAGGAACGCCGGCAGAAAGCTTTATCGGCAACCATGTTCTAAATTTTAATGCGAAATGTGGCTGCATTATTGATTCAGCCCACCAGGTGTTTGACAAAATGTCTTGCTGAGAAATTCGGTCACGGGGTCCGCCATGATATCGGGTTACGACCAATCGGATAGACCCCCCCGTTGTTGATCGCTTCAACTTTTCAATCTGATTCTTTAACTTTGGTTTCTTACACTACACAATTATTAGGGTGATTTTTCAGGTAATTGATTGTTAGCTTCTTGAAGATTTATGGGATGTATGTATAATTATACAGGGCATGAAACAATCATGTTGTGTTTTTAGGAAAGAGTTTGTTGAGGAATTTTATATTAAGCTATTTACTCTTGACTTTGCTTTAAAATCCCCTCCTAACTATCATCTAATCTAACACAAACACCTCTTTGTTGTTGTTACAATGGCAGATTCTTGCATTACATTTTTTCAAAAGCTCATGTCTCTGTCGATTCTTGTCCTAATTGCCCGTTTTTCGACAGGCGTTGAAGCCACGAATCGGACGAAGCTAGTCCTCCGCCTTATACACCGAGACTCGATACTCCCTTTGCCTTATTCAGAAGCAGAGAATGACCTAAGGGCTCCTTTGGTTCCGCACGGAAGAGGTCTACTTTTCTTGGTAAATGTTTCAATAGGTGAGCCTCCAATCCCGCAACTTCTAGCTATGGACACCGGAAGTCCACTAACTTGGCTGCATTCTTACCTCTGCACCGGATGCAACCCTCCTACAAACCGGGCCCCAATCGATGACCCTAAAAGATCGTCGACATGCACAAGTTTGTCGTGCGACTTTAAATATCAATGCCAACAATATTTAGGCGACACCGATTGCAGCCAAGAATCTTTTCGATGCACCTACAACATGGTCTATATGGACGGATCGTATACCAAGGGTATTATCGCCTCCGAAAAGTTCACCTTCGACACCTCGGACGGGGGCATATCGGCAATTCCCGATTTAGTCTTCGGCTGCGGGATCGAAAGCCATGGGGTGGTGGTAAGACTAAGCGGGATCCTCGGACTATCAAACCTCAACGGGCACTCGTTAGTCACTCGAGTCGGTAAGAAGTTCTCGTATTGCATTGGAAACATTAGCGATCCTTATTACATGTACAACCAGTTGGTGCTAGGCGAAGGTGCCGTTTTAGACGGCGATTCAACCGGGTTGGATATTAGGAACGATCAATATGTGGTGAGCATACAAGGGATTAGCGTAGGGGAAAAGAAACTCGAGTTCAACAAGCAAGAATACCACTACAACGTCCTAATAGACTCGGGGTCCACTTTCACTTATTTACAGAGGAGTGCTTTCGAAGCGCTTAAGGAAGAAGTGGTCAACATACTTGCGGATTCTATGCAGCTTGAAATAATCGAGGGTTTCGAGGAAACGCCGTGTTATAGGGGGGATATGGTGAGAGATATAGAGGATTTCCCGAGTGTGACTTTGCATTTCGACGGGGATACCAAACTGAGGTTGAATGTCGAAGGGATGTTCCATAGAATAAGAAGTGACATTTTTTGCATGGCTGTCGTTGTTTCGGAAGACGAAACGAATACAATAGGAGTGCTTGCTCAGCAGTACTGTAATATTGGATTCGATTTGAATGAAATGAAGGTCAGGTTCTCGAAGATCGACTGTGAACTCCTTGAAGACTAAAGTAGTAGCATATCAACACAAAACCATTTATTTTGTTCACTTAGGTCCCGTTTGGCTAAGCTTATTTGATGTTGTTATGTTTTAAGAGCTGTTGATAAACTGTTACGTCTTATTTTAAAATAATTAATTATTAAAATGTTTGGACAAGGAGCTTATCAACTATTTTTATGAACTTATAATCTCTTTAAATTATTTTATTAGATGCTTATTGGATTCCTTTACTAATTGAAATGGATAATACTAACTACAAGTACTTATAAGCTCTTATTTATAATTTTGATTTATATATATTATATATTATTGACAAATGGGTTTTTAGATGCACTTTCTCCAACGGGCAAAAAATACACAATGTGCTCTTGCCGCCAAATTCAAGTAATATTGCCGCCATTTCACAGGATTTGAGATTTGTGACAAGCTCACTCTCGGAATTGGGATGTGGTGATATTGTAATTTTTAAAATTGAAGAACCCCCAAATTAATTAGATTTGAGAAAAAGGGCAACATTTTAATGAAATTGTAGTTGTGAATTTCGATTCCAGTGGTCAATTTATGTGCAGTTCGTCTTCAACATCAGATTTCTTGGTGGAAAAATGGTGCCGGAGAAACTTGGTTCCTTTCTCCACCACTGCGCCAAAACAAAGTCCTTCCGGCTTGGGATTTCCCTACACGCTGCCGCAATCAAAACAGGAACGCTGGCAGAAGTCTTTACCGGAAACCATGTTCTCAACTTTTATGCGAAATGTGGCTGCATTGATGCCGCCCGCCACCTGTTTGACGAAATGCCGCACAGAAATTTGGTCACATGGTCTGCTATGATATCGGGTTACGGCCAGTCGAAAAGACCCCGTTTAGGACTTCAACTTTTCAGTCGAATGCAGACGTATTTTAAGCCAAACGAACACGTCTTTGCTAGTGTTCTTAGTTCTTGCTCCGAAATTACGGACTTGTATCTCGGGCGGCAAATTCACGCTCAGGCATTAAAACTGAGACATGCTTGTGTTATCTTCGTTCTTAATTCACTAATTTTGATGTACATGAAATGTGGTATGTGCACCGATGCCTTATCGATGTTTACTGATAGTAAGTCAGATTCTTTAACATTGGTTTCGTACAATATAGCAATTACCGGGCTGGTAGAAAATAAACGGCAAGAAAAGGGGATTGAATTATTCCGAAGTATGTCTCGACTGGGTCTTGTTCCTGACCGGTTTACTTTTGCGGGATTATTAGGGCCCGGTCAACCCATTTATGATCTATCGGTAGTCATGCAATTGCACGGTCAAATGCTAAAGCTTGGGCTCGATTACATCGCATTTTCCGGAAATATCTTGATTGCATTATACTCGAGTTATAATCTGATAGACGAACCCGAAAAGGTTTTCAGGTCTATCGAAAAAAAAGATGCTATTTCGTGGAATACAGCTATTGCTGCTTTCTGTCACTGTGAAGATAACTCAAAGGCTTTGGATATTTTCCGAGAGATGGTGAATGACCATAATGTGGGTCCCGATGATTTCACGTATGCAAGTGTGCTCTCTGCAGCTGCTCGAACGGGCTCAATGAGAAACGGGAAGGAAATTCACGCCCGTCTAATTAGGACAAGGCGAGATTACGATGTTGGTGTCGGAAACTCACTTGTCAACATGTACGCTAAAAACGGATCCATTACTTCGAGTTACGCTATTTTTCAGCAAATGGAGATTCGTAATATTTTTTCGTGGAACAGCATCATCGCTGCCTTTGCAAATCACGGTCTTGCCGAGAAAGCTATTGCATTGTTCGAGGAAATGACGAAAACAGGCCTGCAGCCAGATTCGGTTACGTTTCTCGAACTTCTAACGGCCTGCAATCATTCGGGCCTGTTGGATGCAGGCCGGGCCCTTTTCAACTCCATGAGTGAAAATTACGGAATTACCCCTGCTGCGAACCATTTGTGCTGCCTAGTTGATTTACTAGGAAGAGCCGGGAGGTTAACCGAGGCTAACGAATACGCAAGTAAATATTCTGTAATAAACGATGCAGTTGTTTTGGGGTCGTTACTTTCTTCGTGCAGATTGCATGGAGGGTTTCTAGCTGGAGAAGAGATAGCTAAGAAGCTTCTAGAACTTGGTCATGTTACGAAGTGTTCGCCTTATGTTCTGCTTTCGAACTTGTACGCAATGAATAGAAAGTGGGATTGTGTTGACCGGACGAGGAACTTGATTCGAGTTGGTGGACTGGAGAAGGAGCCTGCGTGTAGTTTGATCGAAGTAAATCGATCGATTAAAAAGTTTTAAATTTGTGGATTTTAATTCTTGTAAAAATATGCAGTGAATGAATGAATATACAGAGATGTACTTTTCTTGAGAATCAGATAGTAGAGGGTCTCACCATAACAATCATAGATCAGCATGCAGGGAATTAATAAACTTGTCCTAAACGTAAGAACCACTCATATTTGCTTGTTTAGTTGGTATAAGTTGATGTCATTTTCTCTCTCTAGAAATTAGAGTCTTAATTAAGCAAAATCTGAGGTCCGAAACTAATGGAGGAAAATAGTGTTCTTGTGTGTGCAGAACACCTTTAAAAAGTTTCTAACTTTCTCGCACATGATGATAACATCATATATATATATATATATATATATATATATATATAGAGTCGGAAGTAACAAAATTCTATTAAATTATGGAACTAATAAGTAAGTAGATATTTATCGAGTTAGGACCAGAAGAAACTATTATTTAAGTGAGATTATTAACTTATAGAGTCTCTACTGTAGATTTATTTTATTTTATTTTTCCATTAGGTGATTTAAACCGTTTGATAGACACATACGTGTACACCACAAAATCATATGGGAAAAGAAAATACCCATTACCTAATCTCTATTTATCAAACCCATATTTAAATTTTCATTGCTTCATCTTATTGAAGAAAAAAAATTGGGACTTGTAGAAAATAGTTGAAATGGGCGAAAAAAACAAACAAACAAACAAAGAATTGCAAAACGTAGTTAATTAATTAATTTATTTATTATTAAAAAAAAATAGGGCGGCGCGTGAGGGGCAGCCATTGATGGTGTCCAATTTTCATTATTAATAATCAAAAGTCGGTTTTCAGTTTCCACGCTTTCAAGCATCAAAGCCACACAATACATTATAAAATATAGTAACAACTCTTATCTCCTTCTCAATATTATATTGTGAGATTGCTAAAGAATAATATCTCATTTTCAGAGTTATAATAAATTATGATGTTTCATAGATTTAACATATTTAATTTTAATTCTAACTCCAATTTATGCTGAAATTTGCATCCATGTAGATGAAGGATCCAACCCTTGGCTCCATTGTCGCATTTTTTAAAAAAACAAAAGTAAAATAATTTTCTTGAAATCGGATCGCATTCGTTGCTAAAAAAATCTTGAAAAATAAATAATAATAATAATAATAATAATAAAAAGGTATGAGCCATAAATTATTCGGAGTTTGCTAACCCAAGAAACAGCATCTTCCCACATCCAGTCAAAATTACATTACACAACAAAAGTGTGCTACTTATTTATTTATTAATAGAACAAATATTGTTAATTAATATTATTAGGTGTGAATAATTACCAATTATTCATGGAGTTATTCTGCTTATTAATTGTTGTGAAAGATATGTTTAAACAAGAGTCCACACACATCAACCAAATAATCAAAATTGTCTTATGTTTAAGTTTTATATGCATACATAATTATATATTCGTGTCTTTGTCTTATATTTTTCAGTCATTAGTTTAGTCATATGTTAGGGCTTAATCGTTCTTAAAAATTGTAAGTAATCAAAATAAAAACAAGAATCAATAATTAATTAATTAAACGTGGCATTGTTCAAATAAAAACAAGATGAGAAGGAATATGGAGTTGCAGGGGGGCCTGGCCCCCCTCCATTTAATTTTATGTTGTTTTTTGGTCAAGAACACAGGCTGGAATTTGTACGTCCTTTCTATACTTTTTTTATTTCTATATTCGATAATTGTTCTTTTTTGGAATTGTTTTAATTTCGTGTATTAATTATATATTGAATTTGTATAATCATGCAAATCATTGATTTTGAATCTAGAACAAATGAATAACACAAAAGATGAAGTGGGCACTACCTAAATTTGATTAGAGTAACTTAGAAAAAAATCAATTAAATATAAATCACCAATAGTTTTCAATAATTAAATAATGGTCACGATTCCATAACCTAAAGCACCACCCTCATTTAATTTAATTTAATTAATTAATAATAATAATGCTACTAATCAACCACCATAACATAAGATCTAAAACTAATACATATATTAAATAACTAAATCGACAGATAACATTATGCAATAAAACATTGCTTAATTAATAAATATACTATATAGTCTGAAAATGAACTGATGCCATAAAACCATCGCCATTGGTCAAATACAACTCAATGATTGATGATGATTTTCTTTCTTTTTTAAATTATAAAAGGTGGTGTATTTTTTTCTATTGAATTTAATCACATATTACAAGCATTTAAAAATTAAATACAATTATTCTTACCAAGTTACATAAATTATCCTTATAATTTAGTCTATTTAAAAACCCATACTATATGTATGTTCAAAAAAGAATTAATATATACTATAATTATATCTTGATAGTCATATTTTTTAGTCAAATAATCTTGAGTTTAGATTTTCATTATATGTATGTTTAGGCATTTGTCTATATGAATATAAATAAGTCTTTTATTAATAGTACTTTAATACTATAAATCAGTGTCACGATTTGATGGAGCAAAATTTGCACTCTCAAGACCTCCTTTAAAATCCAACTCCTTTGTTCGTCAAAAATTATGTTTGTCGCCGGTATTTAGCCCGCGAAGACGAACTAATCGGCCGAAAAAATATAAGGAAAAAGAGAGGAAAAATGAGTGTATTATTGATCTCAAAATCGTAATGCTAATCGGGTCATTACATTTGTTTATAAAAGGAATTTTGTAATAGACATTTCGATTTTAGAGACTCTTTATTCATCCGAAATTTACATTGATTAGCAAATCATCGATCGTAGTGTACACATTTTCCTTATTTATTTATGGAAATTATCCTAAGATCTTAATATTCAACGACTGTTTCCGAGCTTACCACCTACCGTCTGTTACTCTTCCTCCTATGCAAACTGATGTATGTTAGTGGACTTCTTTATACACGCGGGTTATGTATTAACAATCTTTTTATTGCTAAGTTTTCTCTTGGCAAACATTTCGGACCATCTCGGTGCTTACAATTCATTGGGTCTTGGCTCGATGGGATAAACATTTATCATCCATTGCGCCTCGGCCTAATAATCTTGAGTATGGAGAGTTCGGTCCAATAATGCCGAACTGATCCCATCAGAATTATTAATAATTTAATGTATTTTATGAATTATTTGATAGATAGAAAAATTATGTACTTGTGCAGGCAAAAAAATAAAAATAAATGGGGGTAAAAATAGAGAAAGTTGTGTCCACAAATTCCCACTATCAACAGTGGTATATTGGATATATATGGCCAATCAATTATTATGCAGGGACATTTTTGTCTTATAGAGAAAGCAATTATTGATGAAATTTAATTATGTTTGAGGTGTTAATTAATGTTTTTATTATGTTGGTTAAAGAAGCACCGACTAACCAATTAATGTGATTGGTCTTGTCTCTGTCAATGGTGGGTGACACTATAATCTCCATTTTCAGTGATTACGGTTTTTTTCATAATAATAATAATAATAATAATGGTAAATTACAATCACACCCTTAAGGTATGGTGAAATTATGAAAACCCCCCTCTTGTTCGGATAATTACATCTACCCCTCAACTTTGAATCTTCTTACACCTCCACCCTTCTGGTGTCAAATTCAACATAATCATCTAGATTTCGTGGAATGTGCTCTAGTTTGTACTCGTTTTGTGTAAAAATACAGTTTCTGATGCACCACAATCTAGTGTAAACAAGTAGCCAAAAAACACATCTTATGATCATCTTGCTTCAAAATGTGGAGCTCGAATGAGATACAACGGGTATAAAAGTGATAAATATTCCATATAATCAACAATATTCCACTAAAGTTGAAACCGCAAGGGTGGACGTGTAAGAAAATCTATAATTGAGAGACTGTTATAATTACCCAAACATGAGGGGGATTTTCGTAATTTTACCATACCTTGGGGGTGGTTGTAATAATAATAATAATAATAATAATAATAATAATAATAATAATAATAATAATAATAATAATAATAATAATAATAATAAAGGATTGGAATACAAATAGAGTAAAGTACACGTATTTTCCACGTCACTCTGGATATGCTCGGAATATTTTCTTTTATCTCTGCCCCTCATTTTTGACACGTACGGCGTCGTCTCGTTGATTCCTCTGGCTGCTTTGCAGTTCCATTGGAAAAAAAAAATTTATATTTTATCATTTTATAGTTCCTTGCTTACCACAAGGAAGGAAATTTCATTTTGAATAACAATTAATCGAAGTTTGATCAAATGAAAAATAAAATAAAATAAATACATTATTTTATATTTATCATAATCGAAGTAAAGGGAACACGACAACAATTTGAGAAGATTCAAAGTCAAGAGGCAAATTCTTGGAAATTCTTGAAATGTGGAAATTGAAGTTATTTAATATTACTTGATAATATTTTTATATTTTATATTAATATTTATCACAATAAACATATAAATATAGGGGCTTGCTATTATCAGTGCGGTTTTTTCCAGCTACAGTGCAAAATAATTCATTTGTCAAAAAACACTTTAACCTTTTACAAAATCCTCTCAACCTCCAAATATTTCGACTTTCGTAGATCGTGATTTGTTTTCGTAGAAATGAGTTAAAACCCAACGATTATCAAGATGGCCAACATCGATCCCGTAAATGAGGTAAAAAAATACGTTTTAGTGTGATTTTTTTCGATTTTCAGTCGTTTCGTGTAGAATATCACGAAATTATTCAAGTCATTTCGTGGTGTTTTGCACGAAATGAACACTTTATTCGTATTTTCCAGTCATTTCGTGTACAATACTACGAAATAATACCTATTATTTCGTGTAAAGTCACACGAAATATCAGTAAAACTGTTTTGTTATTTATTTCGTGCAGTACTATACGAAATGTATGCATACATTTCGTGTACAATTACACGAAATGTATGCATATACTTCGTGTAATTTTACACGAAATACCTAGTATTGTTATTAATTTTTTTGTGCAAGTATCTAACCTTTTTTTTGTATTTACGCAGCCATATGACGACAATTTGTATTTTGATCCCTCGGTTTTGGATAAAAAGGAATATGAAGATTTCTCTCACTTCTTCCAAGTTGATATTGTGTTCGGCAGTAGGGAAGAATTAATCAACTGGGCGAAAGAAACTGCAGTTAGTCATTGTCACCGTTTGATTTGTCAGTCTAGAAGGGAGAATGCACAGTACATGACGTGTGACAAATACGGACATGGCCGACAAACGAATATCGATGTGGAAGATCCTAGAAACTCAGGAACAAAAAAATGTGGTTGTCCGTTCAAATTGATTGGCAAAAGGTCAAGGTTTGATGAATTATGGCGGTTGACTGTCAGCGATGGCAGGCATAGTCATCGTCCGACTTTGTTTCCTCACGGACAAGGTACGACTAGTCGTATAACTCCACAACAGAAAGCAAGAATTAAAGAATTGCGAAATTCTCACGTGAAGCCAATGCTGATCATGGATAGACTGAGAAAAGATGATCCGACGATACAAACCTCTATGAAGCATGTTTACAATGAGTTGGCCAAGATTAAATCTGAGGAAATGGAGGGCATGACTGTTATTCAGTTTATGATGCATAACTTTCAAAAAGGCGAGTATCGATATTGGCATCGCGTCGATAGTGAAACGAGTTGATTTATTGTATTTTAGGTACAAATTGAAGAATTGGAAAAATATTACGGTTGTTCCCGTATGTTATATTGATGGACTGCACATACAAAACCAATAAGTAAGTAAAAATTACGATTGTTCAAATTATGATTACAGTTTTAGGGCAACTTATGGGACCCCCGTCCCATACCCCGAAGTTGCGCAGTAAAGGGATTTTAATTGCACAAGGAAACTGCCTTCTTCCCCAAGTTCTTCACCCTATATAAGACCAAGCCAAGCACACAATTGGGGATCAATCTTTGGACGCAAATTCAAGAGCATAGAAGATCAACGAAGATTCAAGCATAGTTTTTCTTATT